AAAAGCTGCTGCTAGGTCGATGAAGACTGCTTGAGGGGAAGCTTCAATATGTGCGAAGTACTCAGCAAAACAGTGTTGTGTACTGAGCCCAGGCATAAGTCCAAACAGTTGGGGTGACAGGTGCCCCTGTATACGATACATGAGTCTGTTAAGAACAATACGTTCAAGCACTTTACAGACACACGATGTTAGAGATATGGGTCTATAATTATCTGAGTGTCGTTTGGGGATGGGAACAATGACACTCTTTGTCCAAGCATCAGGTAATACTCCTTCACTTAAACTCATTCTGTACAACACTAAAAGTGGATTTCCTGGTACGTGTGGGACTAATCTCAGAAGACTGTAAGTAATACCGTTCTCTCCAGGAGCAGTTGATTATCCCATCTTCAGTGCATGATTTAATTCCCATTCAGTTACATCATTAAGGTCCGACACGTCGATAGCTGTAAAGGCAAGATTGATGGTTCGTTGTCTGTTGGGGCGTGTGTCATCAAGTTTGTGCTGTATGTTAATTGGGAGTGAGTCATAGCTCGATGTTAGTGCCCATTGATCAAGGAGGATGTTTGCTTGTTCTAGTGGGCTGTGGTGCAGCGGTTTGGTTGGGCTGCTTCTAGAGATTTTTCGTATCTTTTCCCAAACTTCAACAAATGTTGTTTGCTCATTTATACTTTGTAGGAACTCTTCCCAATGTTTATTACGTATAACGTTGCTCATGTCTCTCATCTCTCTATTTGCGACAAGAAATGCATGCAAGTCACTTTGTGCTTTGGTTCGTTTGTACGTATCTCCAAGTTGCTTTACTCGTTCATGTTCTTTAACAAATACGGGGTCAAGGACCCACTTGGGTGGTGGTAGGTGTTGTCCACTTCTGCTAGGCTTACGGCCTGTTCCCCAACACACCCATGTGTCATAGTAGGTAGTAATCGTATCAACGAGATCTCTGGAGAAGGCTTGTGCATTCGTTGTTGTGTAATCTTGATACCATTTTGATATACAATTAATATAGTGGTCCTGCAAACCATATGGAATATTCATTTTCCGTCTCTGATGTCTATTAGGTACATCACACTGTACCTCATAGGAAGCAGAAACTGCACAGTGATCACTAACCAAGTAATTTACCAACGAACATTCCATATTATCCTGCACAAGGTTTCTACCCATTACATAATCAAGTCTGCCTCCCAATAAGTGAGTTTGGGTATCCGTAGTATACACGGTTAATCTGTTGTCATAAACATATTTTATAAATTTGCATCCATTATCGTTGTTAGTAATGTCTCCCAGCGTAATATGTCTAGCATTAAATGAGAATGAGAAGTGGCCTGCTGCAGTTTGTACATGAAAGTGATGGTACTGTGTGTGTACATTGTGTGATGTGCTCACAAGAGTGTTCGATAAATCACTTCTGATGTATGTTAATAGGCTTGTGGCGTTACTGTTAGTATAGGATGCATACCCTCTGATCTTTGGTGGGGTTTTGTTTATCATGTTGAACGTGTAGGGCTCCTGTATAGCAATTATATCTATGTTGTTACAGGTAACATGTGCAATTAGATCATTCAATCTTTTGTTGATGCTACGAATGTTCCAACTGAGAAACCTAATGGTTCTTGTGTCAACAGCAGCCATCGTCTTGGTGTTGTTCCTCCCTGGGACTGGTGGTCCCATTGTTGTCCTCGTCCCACTTCCACAATGTGTCAATAAGTGACTCTACGACGTAAAGAGCCGCACCAACCTGGCGTTTGGTGTCGTCAGGAACATCTGGTGATGTCATCAGTCTCTTGATCACTGAGCAACTCGGGATGGCCCGTGAGTGAATGTTCTCTGTAAGTTTCATGTATAAGCACTGTCACGCAGCATATTATCATTTTCACTCTTGTATTTGACTGGAACGCTTTCGTTAAGTTCGTTAATCATATATGCTGCTGCGGGTCGACTTCCTTCTCCAGTTAATGTTTCTGTGTCACTATCACTGCTGCCATCACTGTGTTGACTGACGACGTCGCCGCCACCGCCTCCGTTGTCGCTCTTATCTCTGCCGCCGCCGCAGTCGCTGCCACTGCCGCCGCCGTCACCACCACCGAAGGTACCTTTACCAGGGCGGGCCACGGCTGACACAGCAGTGTGGAGGCTGCTGTATCTCTTGTGAAGGAGCCCGACGTGGCGTCTGTATAATTTCAGCCAGTTCTGCTACCTGTGCTTGCACGGCTGCCAACTGTCCTTCAACTGTTGTCTCAGGCTGTTGTGTGTTGCCATGGGCAGTGCTGGTACTGTCACCACTATGGGGTGGGTCAACAGTACAAGAGCCGGCATCAGTAGACACTTGTTGAGTCTCGGGGACTTGCCTCCTTGTGCCAAGGGAGGCTGGCCGTTTGGTACAGTCTGAGTGCCAGATAGTTACGTCTTCTGTATCACATTAGCCCGGCCACACACGTGCAGTTTTAACTGACAGTTATGACTGTTCAGTTATAACTGTCACAGTTCAAACTGACGTCAGTTAAAAATGAAATGCACACACACACACACAGTTCAATCCCTCAGTTTTACCATGGATTCCGAGGAGTACGATCTTGCCGCTCTTAGTGTATTCTTGGTAATGCTACAAGCAAATAGAAAAAAGAAAACTAAGAAGCGTAAGCAGTGGTGCAAAAAGTGGTTACTAAGGTGAAATCAATGTTCTGATATTAAATTGTTAAAGGAATTAAGTGAAGAACCAATTGATTTTCTCAATTATTTGCGCATGACTGAAACTGTGTACCAAAAGCTGCTTTCGCTGGTTTCTCCTTTCATTAAAAAGAAAGATCTTGCAGGAATTCAAGCAGGTCATAATACCAAAGTACCGGCTTGTAGATGCTGTCTGTAGATGCTCCAGACTTCTTTGATGCCTCAACCTTCTTTTTCTCCTTGCGATAAGCGCTTCTCAAACTATTAATTTTCATCAAGACTGACTTCTTAGTGGCACCAGGCTCAAGTTCCTCCAACTTCTTTACTAATTTGCTATAGGCAACATCTTTCTTTGTGCGGTCATGATACTCTTCACTTTTAACTTGCCACAGACAAGGTTCACATCGATAGAGTTCAATGAATTCAACAATGACTTGGTTTTGTTCACGTGCCATCTCAAACATCACTCACCGCTACCACCTGTAGAAATGAGAAGTTGAGAACTGTACAGTTACGAATCCCCACACACGCTCAGTACAGTTACTCCTTTCAGTTAAAAATATGGAACATTGCATTTGTCGCAGTTTAACTGTACCGTTCTGTTGAACTGACGAAATAAGCAACTGAGATACCCACACACGTGCAGTTTTAACTGACAGTTTTAACAGTTTTATGCTCGGATGCGAATGGAACGTTGTGTGAAAATTTCAAAGCAATCGGTGAAGAACTTTCGGAGATTAGCGGTTATGCACAAACGAACATTTCCATTTTTATTTATATAGATATAAAAGATAAATAAAATGTCAAACATACTTCTCGAGAAAAAGAGCATACGAGGTACAGGTATTCCCCAAAAAACTTTAGCATGTTCTCGGAGCATTAATTGTTTTAGAAATTTACACAAATCTGACCCGGAAAACGGTTTACCTGTTGTCCATTTTATCCATCTGATATAAATCCAATTTGTTGTATATTTTATTGCGGTATGAGTGTTGTGAAGAGTTGTCCGGCCTTTGACCGTTGCTTCAGAGAAGTGTGATGGCTTCTCAGGTTATTAGTCTGTCATGGCGCTCGGGAGGCTTGTACCCCTCCACGCCATGTTGCCGGTTATACAAGAGTGCCAACTCCTGGGTCAGATAGTCGTGCCATATCCTAGGTCAGGCAGTGGTGCCGCCGCCAGTGGTGCCACCAACCAGATGCCACCCGCCAGTGGAGCCACCAACAGTGGTGTCGCCCGCCAGTGGTGCCTTCTGCCAGTGGTTCTGCCCGCCAGTGGTGCCGCCACCTAAGGCCTGAGGTGCCTTCTGCCAGTGATGCCGCCTGCCAGTGGTGCCACCAACCAATGGTGCCGCCCGCCATTGATGCTACACACCAGTGGTCCCGCCACCAGTGGTGCCGCCCGGCAGTGGTGCCTTCTGCCAGTGATGCCGCCCGCCAGTGGTTCCACCAACCGGTGGTGCTGCCCAACAGTGGTGCCGCCCGTCTGTGGTGCCGCCCGCCTGTGGTACCGCCCAACCGTGTTGCCACACGCCAGTGGTGCCGCACACCAGTGGTGCCGCCCACCAGTAGTGCCACCCGAAAGTGATACCGCCCACCAGTGGTGCCACCTGCCAGTGGTACCGCCACCAGTGGTGCCGTCCACCAATGGTGTCGCCCGCCAGTGGTTCCGCCCACCAGTGGTGGGCGGCACCACTGCCTGTGGGTGCCACCCGCCAGTGGTGCCGCCCACCAGTGGTGCCGCCCGCCAGCGGTGCCGTCCACGAGTGGTGCCGCCCGCCAGTGCCGCCGCCCACCCGTTGTGCCACCCGTCAGTGGTGCCGCCCACCAGTAGTGCTGCCCACCAGTGGTGCCGCTGACACACCAGTGGTGCCGCCCACCAGTGGTGCCGCCCGCCAGTGGTGCGACCCACCAGTGGTGCCGCCCACCCGTGGTGCCGCCCACCAGTGATGCCGCTGACCACTGGTGCCGCCCGCCAGTGGTACCGCACACCAGTGGTGCCGCCCGCCTGCGGTGAAGGCCACCAGTGGTGCCGCCTGCCAGTGGTGCCGCCCATCAGTGATACTGCCCAACAGTGGTGCCGCCCGCCAGTGAAGCCGCCCGCCAGTAGTACCGCACACCAGTGGTGGCGTCCACCAGTGGTGCCGCCCGCCAGTGGTGTCGCCCGCCAGTGGTGCCGGCTGCCAGTGAGGCCGCCCACCAGATGTGCCGCCTGCCAGTGGTGCCGCCCGCCAGTGGTGCCGCCCACCAGTGGTGCCGCCCGCCTGTGGTGCCACCCACCAGTGTTGCCACCCGCCAGTGGTACCGCACACCAGAGGTGACGCTCGCCAGTGATGCCGCCCACCCGTGGTGCCGCCCACCAGTGGTGCCGCCCGCCAGTGGTACAGCACACCAGTGGTGCCGCCCGCCTGCGGTGCCGGCCACCAGTGGTGCCGCCCGCCTGCGGTGCCGGCCACCAGTGGTGCCGCCCACCAGTGGTGCCGCCCGCCTGCGGTGCCGGCCACCAGTGGTGCCGCCCGCCTGCGGTGCCGGCCACCAGTGGTGCCGCCCGCCTGCGGTGCCGGCCACCAGTGGTGCCACCCACCAGTGTTGCCACCCGCCAGTGGTACTGCACACCAGAGGTGACGCTCGCCAGTGATGCCGGCCACCAGTGGTGCCGCCCACAGTAGTATGGATGACGGCGTAGAGACAATTTTTTTTCAGAAAAAATCGCGTTTAAGTCATAGGGTTTCCAGGTGAACTCTTCGGACAATTTTTGTTGGTTTTTCAAAATCTCTGATTTTTTCAAAGACCATTTTCAGAGAATATGTTCATAAAGGTTTGATAAGGATTTCTTATGAGAAAAATAATTTTAGATATCTTAGAAGTTTGTTAAGAGTTCTTATAAGAAAAGTAATTTCAGAGATCTTAGAAGTTTGTTAAGGATTTCTTATGAGAAAAATATGTTCATAAAAGTTTGTTAAGAGATCTTATAGAATTAATTTCAGAGTTCTTACCGAGAATAAACAGATATTTTAGACTGTATACGTTAGAGTAGAAATTCTTACATCGAAAGTAGTACATGTCTATATAACTAAAACTGTAGCATTACCCAGTCATCCCCCTCCCCTTCCCTCCCTACCCCTGCTTGCCTGTTCCCACCTCAAACCCCCTCCCTCCCCCTTCCCTCCCAACCCCCAGCGTTACCTGTTCCGACCTCACTCCAGCCAGACGCCGCCTGCAAGTCACCTCCGTAATCTTATCTTAGTGTCTCCGTAATATCTGGACCGTCCCTTCCCCCCTCTACCTGTTACCTTACCCCCTTTCCTTCTTCATTATCTTTTATATTATTCAATCATAATTTCGTACAGCTATTTTAGACACCGTAATTTTTTGTTCCTTTACATTAAACGAGTCAGTTTTACACAAATCAACCGAGTCAGTAATCAAGGTCTAGCGCTAGCTCCTGTCCCAGCCTTAGTCCCCTGTTGTATATTTAATACTAACAGTCCAATCCCCCTGAAATTTTAAACAGTCTTTTTTCAGACGTAGTAAATCAAATCAATTTATTAAGCAAGCTCCAGCTCCTGTCCTCTGCCTTAGCTTGTAACACTGTAAAAGTGTTTGGTTTAGTTGTATTTAATACATACATAGAGTACATGAGTCACAGACAGGAATTTGAGAAGGCGCCAGCTTGGTTGGCCTGAGTTTCACACCTCTAAGAGTTAATGACCCCAAGTGACCTGAGGTCAGATCATGCGAATTTCACCTTACTTCTACTAATCTTATAATTGGAGCCTGGTAGCCTTCAAACATGCCGACGTTTAAGGAGTGGCTTGGTAGAGAGCCGGAGGCTATCTACTTGTGGGCGGAGTTAGCTACTACGTTCCCCAATATATACTCGGAGAGCTATCGATTCGAGAGCATTAACGAGACGGAGAAGAACAGCAGCCAGCAGAGCAGAGGAGACGGCCTAGCAGGGAGGCTGTTGGCCAGCAGGGCGGGACAGTCTCTCAACTATAGACCCCCCCCCCCTTTCTATCCAGCTATAGGCAGACACTTGGTGAGTTAAACGTTAAGGTGACTTGGTCGTGTTTTACAAGTGTTGTGTGATGATCAGGGACAGTCAGTTGTAGTGTTCTCAGATTCTTGGAGGATGACTCACTTTACATATATATATCTTGAATTGCTTAAAGTATGATACTTCATATGAAATATAATTATGAACTTATTATTTAAATTGTCTTTGTTCCCTAGAGTGTTGAGTTGAGATGAGAAATCCTCTGTGGTTTCATGATTTAATGAGTACATGATAAAGATGGGACCTACTAATAATGACCTCTTGAGAACATCATTTGTGAATATTGTGATACGGACAAGTTCCATTCCTTGTCTTGTAGGTAATGATCATGAATGGATGGTGGCAGCATTTAGTCTTCTACTCTCTACTCTTCTACTTCTACTCTTCTACTTCTACCGATCTATTCCTCTCCCTCCACCCCTCTCCGAACTTTCCCTTTCAGCTAATGACCCTCCTCGCTCCTCCCACCTCTCTGCCTCTCACCCCAAACCCTCACTAATTACTTCACTATTCATTTCTTTCCTTTCGTTTTCTCTTATACGTTTGTGGCAGTGAAATGTATTCTAGAGTTCTCCCTAGAGTTTCGGGTAGTTGATCAAGTTACGGCGCCTTGTAGTCTTAGCACCTAGGTAGTCAAATACCTAGCTTACAAGGTGTTGAACGAGAGAGGTTGCCTTAGGAATTCTAGAGGGGCTCTAGAATAGTTAGATAACTGGGGACGGGATAACGGACTAGAGAGAGCTGTTTCCCCCGGCCTCGTTAGTTAACTGGGGGTGGAATAATGGACAAGATAGAGCTATTTCCCCCCCCCCCCCGTTGCAATGGTGGCTCATATCTTTGTTAATAACCCATCAATTTTCCTGAAATTTTTACCATAGTTATTTCAGACATAGTAAATAGGATCCAAACAATTATCAAACTCTAGCTCTTGTCCCCCACTTAATTCATTTGTACAAGTTCATTAGTAACAGACCAATTTTCCCGAAATTTAAAGCAGATATACTTCAAACAAAGTAAATCAAATCAATTCAGTAAGCAAGCTCCAGCTCCTGTCCCCCGCCTTAGTCCCCTATCGTAGATTCATTACTAAAAGTCCAATCTCCCTAAAATTTAGGACTATTATATTTTGTACATAGAAAAAGAGATCCGAGCACTTTTCGTGTGCTAGCTCCTGTTCCCCACCTTGTTTTACTAATACAACTTCTTTAGTATCTAATCAATTTCTTCGAGATTTAAAACAGCTATTTCAGACATAGGCAAATACAATAATTTAATTAACAGGCTCCAGCTCCTGTCTCCGCCTTAGTTTATTCCCGTAACTTCTTTACTAACAGTCCAATCCCCCTGAAATTTAAAACAGACATACGTCAAACATAGTAAATCAAATCAAAATAGTTAAAGAGCTCCAGCTCTCGTCCCCCACCTTAGTTCTCTCGCGTGTCTTCATTAATATCCCATAAATTTTCCTGAAATTTATACACTCTGTATTTCAGACACAGTATATAAGATCAAGTCAGTTACTGAGCTCCAGCTCATGTCCCCCACCTTAGTTCATTTGTTCAAGTTCTTTAGTAACAGACTAATTTCCCTTAAATTTATAACTGCGGTATTTTCAGACATAGTGAAATAGATCCGAACAATTACCGAAGTCTAGCTCACGTCTGCTGCCTTAGCTCATTTGTACATGTTCTTTATTATCAGACCAATTCCCCTGAAATTTAAGATCACAATATTTCTGACGTAGTAAAATAAATCAAAACATTAACCGAGTTTCAGTTCATGTCCTCCACCTTAGTTCAATGTTCATCGAATTATTTCAGATCAAAGTTTTCTCCAGTCTATCAAAGTAAACATCATGTCCTTTTTTACCCTTTTTGTACCCAGTTATGTAAATAATCACTAACGTGCCAATATTCGCACGGTCAGATCGCACCTTACCTTCAATACCTTTTGTTTACCAAAGTAAGCAATAATCACATGGACAAAATCACATCTTACCCTTTCCCCAATTACCTTTCCCCCCTTAACTCTCCCTTATCTTCCCCAACTCCCTTTCTCCCTTATCTTCCACAACTCCCTTTCTCCCTTATCTTCCCCAACTCCCTTTCTCCCTTATCTCCCCCAACTCCCTTTCTCCCTTATCTTCCCCAACTCCCTTTCTCCCTTATCTTCCCCAACTCCCTTTTCACTTTCCTCTTGCACAGTTCAGAACTTATCCAAACCTTCAATAATCCTACTGTATTTATATATTTTCTCTATATTCACCACGTTCTTCGGATTCTCTTCCATGTTTTCTGTGTTCATTCCATGTTCAGCAAGTATTTACAGCATGTTCTTCAGTTTATATTTTTTTCACCAGTTTTCTCCATTTTTCACTGTTTTTGCCATTTTTCCCCCATATGTTCACTGTATTCTTTGCCATGTTTTCATGTTCATCTCACGTTCTCTGTACAACTTTTATACTCAATATTCATGTTCTCAGTGTTCTTAGCATGTTTCTTCACATATTCAGTGTTCATTCTTTGTACTCCCTATGCTCCTTATCATGTTTTCATGTTCTCTGTAAGTTCATATTCCCCTTATGTTCACTGTGTTCATCAGCTTTTCTTACATGTTTTCTGTGTTCCCCGTATGTTCACTGTGTTCATTCTCTTACATAGTCTCAATTTTTTATGTTCTTTGTTTCTTTAAACTAATTGTTTCTTCCATTCAGTAACTAGTTCTTTGTCAAATATTATCAACCGTAATACAGTTCCCCAATAAATGTAGTCAGTCACCCAGTTTTATTTGCAAAAACTACATCAAAGTAATTCTCGTAGTCAACTTAATATTTCTTACCAACACTATTCTTAAACAAATCTACCCTTTATTCAGTACCAAATGTACCAAGACAAACTTTTTTTTTTTTTTTTTTTTTTTTTAGATATATACAAGAGTTGTTACATTCTTGTACAGCCACTAGTACGCATAGCGTTTCGGGCAGGTCCCTGGAATACGATCCCCTGCCGCGAAGAATCGTTTTTTCATCCAGGTACACATTTTACTGTTGCGTTAAACAGAGGCTACAGTTAAGGAATTGCGCCCAGTAAATCCTCCCCGGCCAGGATACGAACCCATGACATAGCGCTCGCGGAACTCGTTGTTAACTAAAAGTATTCGTCAATCAACTGAAATAGTCATTTTCATGTTTTCTGTTCGTTTCTTAACTAAAATAACACTTCTCTCACCTGAAAATAGTCAAGTGTAGCCTCTTTCAAACACCCTTCTCAAATAAAGTAACTTTTCACTTCGCTACAAATAGTCAAATGTAACTTCGTTCAATACCGTTCTTAACAGCCAATATGTTTTGTCAAGCAAGAAAAAATAACCAAAGATATCTTTCATCGCTGTTCTTAACTGACATTATACTTTATGGAGCACAAAAATAGTCACTGTCATCATATTTTCTTGTCTTTCCTCAACTAAAAATAGTAAAATAGAACATCGTTCTACACTTTTGAACTATCAGTATACTTCAAGGAGTAAGAAAAATAGTCAAGGACATTCTTTGAGACATCAAGGATACACTCAGACACACCCAAGCTACTCTTCGAGAAATCAAAGACACTC